GTGATAAGACTGTGTGTGTGTGTGTGTGTGTGTGTGTGTGTGTGTGTGTGTGTGTGTGTGTGTGTAGAGACCGGTGGCTGGGCCTAGGGCTTCCTTTGGCTCTTCTGCAGACCTTGTTACTGTGATAAAAACTCCTGAAGCAAGTTCAGAAAGGAAGAGTTTATTTCAGCTCACAGTTCCAGGACACAGTCTGTCAAGGTAGGAAAGGCACGGCACCAGGAATGTGAGGCGGCTGGTCACATCGCATCGGAAGTCAGGAAGCAGAGAGCAATGTATGCTGGTGTTCAGCTTGCTTTCTCTTTTTTTTTTTCTGTCCTGGGATTATTACATTCAGGGTGGGTCTTCCTCACTCAGTGAAACCTTTCTAGATGCATCCTCAGAGACACACCCAAAGGTGTGTTTCCATGGTGATTCTAAATCCAGTCAAATTGACGAGGAAGGTTAATTAGCATGTCTCCCTCCTTCCTTCCCAGGAAGACCCTATAATGCCAGGGTTGCCCTGACACATATGCCCTCCTTGGGCACAGGCTCTGTGGCTTGGTGGCCTGAGAGGCCATTTCTGCCCATAGGACCTGGTGCAGGGAGACTTACTGTCTGAGGACAAGACCATCTGTGTCAGGATCCCAGATCTAGGAGGATTGTACTTTGCCTTAGGGCGGGCCCTGCCCTTGCTCAGGAAGAAAGTGGGAGGCCTCAGAGGGTGTGCAGCTGGAAGCAGAGAAGGGCTGGGGTTTGAGCTTGGAAGATGCCGCACGTCAAACCAGACAGCCCACCTGTCTCATTTGGCCCTACCCAGGCGAGAGCAGAAGCCAAGGCCATCCTGCCCACCATGAACTTGGGGTAGGGAGGGAAGCCTTCTGATTAGTGAAATGAGGCAGCTGCTCCCTCCTGGGGCCTTCATTCTCAGGCTCTCACCTGGGCCTGTGGGGGTGGGGACTCGGGAAAGAGGCAGGTGACAATCCCCCCAGGAGAGGTGACAGCCCCGAGGCGGGAGCCGCCACCGCCACCTGAGAGTGGGTGAGGAGCAGGTTAGCTGGGTGAAAAGTTCGCTGCGAGGGGAGCTGTCTGTTTCCTTTTCTTAATTTATCCACTATTTGGCTAACCTCACTCTGAACCCAGGCCCGAGACCCCTCGACTCTCTCCCCCGCCTCCCCACTGGGCTCCTGGGCCGCCACTAACCCTCAGCCTGCCTGTGGCCAGGCAGGGACATGCTGGCCTTGAAGCAGCCTGGGGCCAACAGGCTGCCTGGGGGAGAGGCCTGCTGCCTGGCCGGCAGTTATTTATGACTGAGGTCTTCTCCCTATCCTTAGTAACCAAAGTCCGGTTGCCATGAGGTCTGGGGCCCCAAAGGCCAGACATCCACCAAGCCATACAAGATGTCCCACCCGTGGCCTTCACCAAATACACAACAGCACCCAAGACAGTGACCTTTCATTCAGGGCCATCTGTCATCCTGGCCTAGGGCTGCAGCTGGACACATGGGCCTGGTGTCAGACCGAAGACCAGCCTCCTTCCTGAGCCCCGGGATAGCTTCTGTGACGTCCATCTCTCCTCGTTGCTCAGAGTAGACCCTGTAAACTCATCTTTATCCCAGTACCTCTTGCTCTCTCTCCCTCTCCACCCCTCTTGTTATTATTATTATATTCTATTTATTTACAGTGTGTTGTTAGTATGTGCATGCCACAGCACACATGTGGAGGTCAGAGGACAACTTGTGGGAGTTGGTTTTCTTTCCATCATGGGGATCTGGGGATTGAACTCAGGTAGTCAGGTTTTATAGCAAGAGCTTCACCCTAAATCATCCTGCCGGCCCAGCCCTTATTCTCTACACACGAGAGGAGGACTGGGCAATCCTGGCAGCAGTGACCCTTCTTCAGCCAGACTGTGACAAGGAGACAGGCTGGGGAGCTGAGACAGAACCTTCGGCCTCCTCATTATTGGCAGAACAACCCAGATCACTCTGGCCCTGCAGCCTGTGCGGCCAGCCCTGGTACTCACTTTCTATGACAGCTAATCTTGGTTGCCAGCTTGACACAACCAGGAAGAGAAAACTTCCGTTGAAGACCTGCCTCCATCAGATCGGCCTCTGGCCGTATCTGGGCAGCATTTTCGTGACTGCTAATTGGTGTGAGAGGGTCCAGACCACTGTGGGCAGTGCCCTCCCCTGGGCAGCTGGGCCTGGGCTGTGTAAGAAAGGTAAACATGAGCCAGGGAGTGGTGTTCCTCTGTGGTCACTGCTTCGATTCCTGCTTGAGTCCCTGCCCTGATTCCCTCAGGGAGGACTGTGGCCTGGAAGTGTAAGCTTTCGGTCATGGTGTTTCTCACAGCAACGAGCAAACTAGGACACCTTCCCGCCTCATTTCATACTCCCATTGTGATCTGCCTGGCAGCTCCGACAGTCACATTCCCAGCAAGCAGGAGAATAAAGACACATAAAGAACAAACTGTCCCCTCCTCATCACCTTTGGGCCTCAGAGGCCTTTCCTGGATGCTCTGCTTGGATTTGTGGGTGTACAGGTGCACGTGGTCAGAGCATAGCTTGTTATGGTAGTAATTAGGACCTCCCAGGCATAGGGTACACACCCCTTGGTAGCCAAAAAGTGATATAAAGAATGCTTTGTCTGTGTATGTGTATGGTAGATGTGTTTGCATGAATATATGTGTATGCATGTGTGTGGAGGCCAGAAGTCAACGTTGGGTGTTGTCTTAGGGTTTCTATTGCTGTGAAGAGATACCATAACCATGGCAACTCTTATAAGGAAGACATTTCATTGGGGCTAGCTTACAGTTCAGAGGTTCAGTCCATTCTCATCATGGCAGGAAGCATGGTGGCACACAGGCAGACATGGTGCTGGAGAGGTAGCTGAGAGTTCTACATCTGGATTGGCAGGCAGTGGGAAAAGCTAGAGACACTGGGCCTGGCTTGGGTTTCTGAAAACCTCAAAGTCCACCCCCAGTGACACACTTCCTTCAACAAGGCCACACCCACTCCAACGAGGCCACACCCACTCCAACGAGGCCACACCCACTCCAACGAGGCCACACCCACTCCAACGAGGCCACACCTCCTAATAATGCGCTCCCTGTGGGTCTAATGGCGGCCGTTTTCATTCAGACCACCACAGCGTCATCCGCAGTCATTCTCCACCTTGGTTTTTGAGACAGTCGCTCACCTAACCTGGAGTGTATTGAGTTGGCCAGGCCGGCTGGCCAGGGAGCTCCAGGGATCCCTCCAGTCCCAGCCTCCCCTCACTGCTGCCGGCTGAGGTCCTCACGCTTCTACAGCAAGCCCTTTACCACCTGGGTCATCTCCTCCGTCTCCCAAAATGGTTTTGGAGATGAGGCTGGCTTTGAACTCACAACGCTTCTGTGGCAATTAAAGGCATGTACCCCCACACCTAGCCGGTCATTTTGTTTTGTTTTGTTTTAAATTGTTGCATGCTATTCCAAATCTGGGTGAACTGGGATTTCTTCTTCTTTACTTCACAGTGAGGTAGGAGATACAGCAAGTCCTAAGCACAGGGCTCAGTCCACGTCACAAGGGTGACTGCCATTCAGGTCATCATGGTAAAGATCTCCAGTCCTTAAAGACTTCCCCTTCCTGCCTCTAGCCATCCCAATCCCAAAGATGATTAATCACTAGACTATGTTTCGAACTTCCTACAAATTGAATCATGCCAAGAGGAGTCTTTCCCCTCTGGTTTCTCATTTGTTTTCAGCACTGTGTAATATTCCACCACAGGAATGTTAACTAGAGCCTGTCTATGCTACAACAGATGGAAATGTGCATAGCGTTCAGTGCCTCCCCCAAACACAACGCAGCAATAACTCTCTCTCTGCAAACCTCGGTGTGTGCCAGAACTTTTGTGTCTAGAGACTCCATATGTCCATTTGGTGACAAGAATAAAGGTTTCTTTTGTACGCTTGTCCTAGAGGGTTTTTTTTTTTTTTTTTTTTTTTTTCCATTCAGGAAGATCATTCAGCAGAATTTAAGGAGCTTTCGTTGTCTGGGCTGACTCAGAAAGGGCCTAGTCTACGGGCAATGGTGAGCCATGGAGGGTTCTAAGCAGAGAGTCATGTGTTCAAATCTGTATTCTGCAAAGAGTTTCTGAGATGCATGGTGGAGGTACTCAGGTGAGTCAGAGGACTCAGCTGTGGGGAGGGCTGGACGATGTGGAGAAGAGCTGAGGGGACTCAGTGAGAGACACAGCTCAGGGGACAAGTTCTCGCCTCACCAGGGTCTTTAGTCATAGCAGGGGGGTCCCATCTCAGTAGCCATGGTATCAAAGGGAAGGCAGCTTCAGAGGCTCCGCTCTACATGGACAAACACTACTTCCTTTTCCTGTGTGTGTGTGTGTGTGTGTGTGTGTGTGTGTGTGTGTGTGTGCGTGTATCTGCCTTATGGCCACTCCCTGAATCCTGAGCTCCCTGTTAGACAGGGTTTCCAGGCCACCACAAGGACAGGTAGGAAAGGGACCTTGTGGGAAGGGGTGCATGCAGCACACAGAGGCACCGGGAAATTGCTCCATTCTTCCCTTCCTAGAAGCGGGGTCTAAAGCTGCTCTGAGGGGCTCTATTCTCCACAAGAGTCATGAACCAGACAACCCTGATCATCTTACCCACCCCTGGCTTCTGCCTCCCTCTAGCTACCCAGCTGTGGGATCCTTTTCCTCCCTCAGCCTTGTTCTCAGCCTGGCTCTTAGGGCAGACGAGCCAGGCCGCATCCATGATGCTGGTGTACAGTAGCCTCATGTAATCCCCTCTGGTTTTAGCCCAGTCCTGCCCCAGGTCATCTCCCTCTACTAAAGTTTCCTCGCAGTCAGTTTTGGAATCTAGAAGGCCTTCTCTAGGGAGCAGTTTTGGTCATCTTCCTGTCCCCATCTCTTTCTCTAAGACATGGCAGATGGTTCCACATCCCTCCCAGGGTCCACTGTGTCCTCTCAGTTGGTCTCCACCTGTGGACCTGGTCCTCTCTCCAGCCGTTCCGACCTTTGCCTTCTTCCAGGGAGCTTCTCTGCCTCAGCACCTGTCTCTCTGCCTGCCTGTTCCCCCTACCCTCATATTTTGGAGGTCTTCTCCATCCCACATCCTAACAGAGGGTCATTTTCAAGGCTGGCCTCTGCCCCGGGAACAAAAGTCTCAGAAAAGATGAACAAGCCCAAGTCACCTACACCACATGAGGAAGATAAATCAGAGCTCTTCCCAGCATTTCCTGATTCCTCCTACTCAGGGCCTGCGATGACCCATGGCTCCCAGAAGACACTGCAGACCCCACAGAGACTCCTGTCCTGCTAGGCAGGGGCACTCGCTACCAAATAAGGGCAAAACACTTTAGAGTCTGCACAGCCTCTACTCTAGGTAGTTAGGGAAAGCTGTTCCCAGTGCCACCAGGGGACTGGAAGCCACATGGCAGTCTGGGGGTGGGTAGTGAGGGAGTCCCTCTCCCTCTCTTCCTCGGGGCAGTCGTGATGGGCTGACAGACAGGCTGGGTCTGCTGCCAAGCACCACACTGCCAACTGCCCACCAGGATGCTAACTGACTGCCCGTCCTCAGGAGCCTGCCAACTGCCTGTCACCCGGCTAGCCAACTGCCAGTCAGACCAAGACCTGGGAACTCCAGACTGCAGGTCAGGACCTCAGCCAACTGTCACTCCCAAGGCCCAGGGGCAAGTCAGGGGTCCCACCGCTGGTCATCCTGATGACAGCTACTGATGAGGCTACCTAGCATCCTGTCACCCTTTCCCTGGCAAGGAACTCACCATCTCCAGCTCTCAGTCTGTGGGCTCCAGGACTGATTGGCTTCTTGGCTGCAAGGGACAGAACACAGGACTCGGGCTTGGTATACTGGAGCATCCTCTGACTGCTATCATTGGTTTATATGTGGACAAGGGACTCAACCCAAGCCCGCTGTAACCCCTGAGAATTAAGCCCGGGTAACTAACATCTTGCTTTTCCTAAGGTCCTTGAACCTGGGAGAGAGTGTATGTGGCTGGAGCTGAAGCAGCCTTCTTGCCATCAGGAGAGTAAGAGCGCTGAGAGGAGCCAGTCCAAACACATGGAAATGAAGAAGACAGAGAGGCCGGTGTGTGTCAGGTCCTGGAGTCAGCCATTCCCGAAACAAGTTACCATTGGGCTTTCTCCTGTGAACCAATAAACCTTGCCTTTTGCCAAGGAGGGCTGGCTGTGAATGGTGCCAGCAATCAGGGAGTTTTCCCGCTGTCGATAGAGGGGGCACTATCTGCGGGCCAGGGCCCAGCTCTTGAATTTCTGCCTGAAAGGGTTAGGCAAGCCTCACTGGCTGGGGCAGCTGGTGTGTGGGCACAAACCAGATGCTGCCTTGCTTTGGCTCAGAGGCTGAGAATTGGAATCGGGTCCCTCGCTGTGCCTTGGTGGCACCTGGCAGTATTGGGACTCAAGGTGACAGCAGCTGCAGTGTCTGCCAAGTTCCCCAGTCTGGTTTTGAACTCCTCACATTCCTTGCTAAGTGTGTGATTCTGTGTCTGTCCCACCAGACACACTGTGACTCATTGCTGTTATTACAAGGTAAATAAGAGACACATTTATTAATGGAGGTTTACTAGTGCAGAGAATGATAGTTCATTATTTGTATTTCTCTTTTGATTTTCCCCTCAGTAACTGTGGTGGACAGGGCCACTAGCTCCATCCTTCAGATCCTCCCGCTCACTCCGAGTCAGCGGCTCACGAGCCCAGAGCCAGGTCCTCCCACCTCTCCCTCTCTGGGTTTTGCCCAGACCCAGTCACCTTCCCGGGCAGGATCCAATTACATCCCAGCAGCAGCCTGGGATTGAGCACAGCGTGTGTCTTCTTCAACTCCTTCTCTCTTTTGTCTTGTGAGCCTTGAAAAATGAAAGGAATGATAAGGATTTGGGGGGGTTGCTAGAAAATCCTGCGGATACTGGGTAACTCACCAGGAAAGAAGCATGGAGGCCCGCAGTAGAGGCCTTTTGGAGGATTAGGGATCTCAGCCTGGAACAGAGAGAGTCTCATGCTCCTGGATCTGCTAGCCTCCTGGGGGACAGGCCACTAAAGCTTCCTGGATCTCCCTTTCCATAGCTGTATGCAGCAACTGAGGCCGACTCCCTGTCCTTTTTTAATTTTGAGACAGGGCGTCTTGGTATAGCTCTGGCTGTCCTGGAACTCACTATATAGGTCAGGCTGCCCCCAGATTTACAGAGATCTGCTTGCTTCTGCCTCTTGAGTGCTGGCATTAAGGGTGTGTGCCACCACACCCAGCAGTGTGGGGTTTTGAAACCTCAAAGGCTTCTCTCAGTGTCACCCGCCCTGCCCCCCACTCCAGCGAGGACACACCTCTTAATCCTTCTCTAGCAGTTCCTCTAACTGGGGACCAGGCATCCAAACCTGTGAGCCTATGGGGGCTGTTCTCATTCAAGCCTCCACACTCCCACAGCCCTGAGTTGTTGCAAAGAAGAAACAAGTGACCTGAGGACCAAATGTTCCCAACAGGTGACACAGCTCCTTAGAGGACATCCTATAAAGTCCAGGGGCTGTTTTTTATTGTCACAACTGCAAGGGTCGGCTACTGGGTGAAGACAGGGTGCTGTCATGTGCCCCGCAGAGCCCAGGACCGCCCTGCCAGTGACCCTGTCCACAATGTCAGCAATACCGGGATGAAGTCTTGAACGTTTAGCAATGCACTGTGGCTTTTCTTGCTCGGGGGGCTCCACCTGGACGCAGACGGGACAGTGATTAGGGGAATAGGGTATACTAGGAAGAAGGTTAGGCTTCCATATTGGCAACCATCGATGAAAAGCCTGTTTGTGCCAGATGCTCTGCCCTCACAGTGTCGGGTCTTGAGGAAGCAAGTACAGCAAGAAGATATTGTCCTCAACTGTCCATCAACTGTGATGGACAGATAAACTGTGGTCTAGTCATGTAATGGAAGACTTGGGCTATCAAAAGGAGGTGGGATTGTTTAACATCTTCTTTTCCCATTTGTATCTGCGTGTACATATGTGTATTCATTTCTTTTTCTTGCCTTATTAACTGATTAAGAACTCAAGTCCTATACTGAACAGAAGTGGAAAGAGGATGTCTTCTC